CGATCGGATCCATCGGTTTGGGAGGACAAGTGGAGTTTTTGGGATCCTAGGCCATGAAAAGAAAAACTAGGCTATTGAATTTTTAGGTCAAATCCCCCGCCCTACTTGAGCTTTTATGGAAAGCCTTGAGTTTCCTTTTCCTTAATAATAATTTGGACTTTAGACATTCCGGAAGAGCATAAAACCGGAAAGAAGAGGGTGCCCTTTTCAAAACTATTTTATTTACATCCGCCATGCTCTTCTTTGAAATTCACGTCATCGGGATTTTCTGAAAAATAATGTGTCTGTTTTTTTCAGTATGCCAATNTTGGGGGCCCATAGGTTTAAACTGTGGACTAAGTTAAGATTCACCAATTTTTTCTAGTTTTGTGACCGTTTCCATTAAAATTTCGAACTTTGAACACTTTTCATAATTTTTTGAAAATTTCAGTTTATGTCATTTTTTGCATATTATTTGTCTATTTTTTTGTTACTAACCCTGGGAAAATCTGGAACTAGCTGAATAACTTCAAATGACACAGTTACAATGGAAAAAATAGTGTTGTTCATACAAAAAACCGGCCTGAACTGAAATTTTTTGAAGTGACACATTTTTGTGGAAACAAGCGCAAAGTTCGAAATTTTAATGGAAACGGTCATAAAACTAGAAAAAATTGGTAAAGCTTAACTTAGTCCACAATTTTACCTATGGGCCCCCCTTTTGACTTGCCGCCATTCAGTTGTTCGAGAAACGGTTTTTTTTTCTGAGATTCTGGGATTCTAAGATTCTGAAACTCTGAAAATCTAAAATCCAATAAATTCAGAAAATCTAAGATTCGGAGATTCTGAGATTCTTAGATCCATTTTTTTTCAGATTTTTGGTTTTTCAGTGAAATTGTTAGAAATCTAGGTTACTGTAGATTGAAGGATCTATGTCAAAAAATCACTAAAATTCATCTTTTTTCTTTAAATTTTCGATTTTCAGCTAAAAGTAAACTAACTAGGGAACTATCTGAGCGGAATTCCAAGTTATGATTCATGACCTATATCATCAGAAAGCCCATAAAATTTTGATTCGGAAAATTTTTTCGTTTTTGCGAAACGGCGTTGAGCTTCGAGAAAATTAAGTCAAAAAATAATTTTAAGTTGATTTTATGCTGTGTTTGGCTTTTTATATTTGAAAAAATGTATCATGCGCCTCGCGTCAATTTTTAATGCAATAATAATAAAAGTTTCAGTACCAAAATTTTTGAGCCAATTATCTTTTGACCCAATTTTTTCGAAGCTCATCACTGTTTCGCAAAAACAGAAAATACATTCCAAATCAGAATTTTATGGGCTTTCTGGTGATATAGGTCATGAATCGTAACTTGGAATCCCGCTCAGATAGTTCCCTAATCCCGCTCAGATAGTTCAAAACTTAAATAGATTACTCTTTCTAACTTTTCGAAACATTTAAATTTCCAAAAATCACTAAGTTGTTTCATGTGTAGGTGGGCACAAAATAATTGTAGGTCAAGCTTTTTTTGGGACAAACCCAAAAAAATTGGTTCCGGGTCTTTTTTTTTCAAACAACTTTTTTTTCTTGGAAAACATGAGATTATTTGATGAGAAAAAAGCTCAAACTTCAAGATTTGCAAAAAAAAGAGATATATGTGAAAAAGATTTTTTAGTTTTTTGTTAAATCTGTATTTATCATTCTTTGATAAGCTAAATCTAAGAATCTCAGAACCTCAGAAGTAAAGTGTTTCAGAAATTCAGAATTTTCGAATTTCGAAACGTCAGTATCCTGGAAGTTGAAAATTTCAGAATCTCATAATTCAAAATTTCAGAATTTCAGAGTTTCAGAATTTGAGAATTTCAGGATCTCAGAAGTTCAGAGTTTCAGAATTTCAGGGTTTCAGAATCTCAAAACATAAGATTTTCAGAATTTCAGTTTTCGATTTCCTGATTTATCAACAAAAAAAATTGACAGGTTTTTCTAGGAAAACCTTGACGTAGTAAAATCGCAAACTTATTTGTTTATATCAATTTTTGTTAATCCATCAAAAAACGAGGAAACGAAAAGTAGGTCAAATGAGATTTTTTCAGTTGATTGATGAAAAAAAATCAAAGGAAGATGTCAACAAAAAATTTCCGAGGTTAGATTCGAAAATTTTTTTTTTCGGGGTCTAAAGAAATTATGGGAAGAATAGGTTAGAAAAACTTACATTAGATTTCTGAAAAAACGAATATTCAAAAAAAAAGTTCCAAAGAATTAAAATTTTTGACATTTTTTCGGAAAGACTGCGGTGAAGAGTTTTGAGATCAACTTCAAAATGAAAAATACTACTTCAAAGAAAAAATGAATTTCAAAAGATCCACCCTCTTTTTCTCTTTTCAACATTTTTATTCTTAATCCATCTTTTGAAAAAAGAGGGATTAACCTCTTGGAGTTTCAAAAATGAGTACTACAAAATGAGTATACTTTTCAATTTTTGATCAGCCAAATTTTCAGCTTTATTTAGTGAATCTAAATTTGCACATAAAAATAAGCCAAGAAACAGCTGAAAAAAACTTTTCTTTGAACTGTAATTTGTGCGTTTCGTCATTTTTTGAGTGGATAGTCCAGAAGATCAAAAAGTTTTTTGAATTTTTCCGAAAACAAATTTCAAAAATAATTGGACAACCAGACACACGGACAGATGTTTTTAGAGAATATCACAAGTAGGTCATTCTACGAAAAAAAAAACAAAATCCAATAGATCAAAACGATCACAACGAATTTTCGGAAAGTTCTGATTTCAGAAAAATAAAGAATTTTTCGAAGGACCTCAGAATTTTTATTGATGCTCAACAATATTTTTTCTGGTTGATTTCTTGATTAAAATAAAAAGAAAATCCGATTTTTAGAGATTTTCAATGGTAATCTGGTAACACTCAAAATAATGGAGCAAGGAAAAAAGAACTATCTAAAATCAGAAAATCTGAGA